TGTGTGTGTGTTGGGGGGTGATGACTAATGAAGTAATGTTTTACCAGTTCAGAGCGTTTGGGCACATATCTGTGGTTTCTTCAGATTCAGTACTCTTCAGATTGTCGTGTTGATTTTGCATGAAATCTAAGTGGCTTCATTTGAGTGTGTTTGTGTGCACATGCTCTCAACATTAACCTTAGAGACGTATGAAGTTACTTTTGACTTGCTATTGGATAAAGAGTGAATTTAGTTTGGCATGTGGACTGTTTAACATCTTTGTCACTACTTAGTGGGTGCAATGGAGTGAAAAGTCTAAAATGTGAAGTTAGGTCCCAGAGTATATGATCATTTATATATATATATTTCTTGATTGAACAACATAATTTGCAGGAAAATAATTTGCTAAATATGTTATGATTTAAGTTTTTATGATGAAACTTGTGGCAAAAAGCCTCTAGTTATTGATTATGAGTAGATATGAGGCAAAACTCATTTGCAACAAATGCATGATATTTTTGGAACAACTTTTAAATAACCACTTCAGCAAATGGTTAACCAGTTTTGTCTGTTTATTCAACCACTTTTGGCATTTCATAACCTCTCAAGTATTTCAAACGAATAGTGTTTTTCTTTTAGTACAGTAGGTGCAGTGTTAGTATACGCGTATATTACAAATTAATCTCCATTGTGAGCGGTCGGTGTGAGCCCACTTTGCACATCCTTTGCAATAAATCTTTTCCCTCCCAATTATGGAAAGCAATTTGTTGCTGTTCAGGCGTACTGTATCGATCATGTGCCAACCAAAGACTTTGGTGATGCTTTTGGCCACAGTGTTTTTTTCTCCCTCCCAAGTGGAGGCTTTGGATTCTGCAAGGACAATTAACTTAATATATGTTAAAAATTTAAAGAATTTAATTGTTAATTACATTATACTTATCCAAAATAGAGTATATGGGGTTTTACTTGAATCGTAAGATTTAATTTTTTGTACTATTTAATTTTTGATAGTTTTAATAGCATTTGTAGTTTTTTGTAATACTTTGCATTTTTTGCAATTTCATAATTAGTCATTAAGAGAGAACATTCACAACTGAACAACTTGTGGTATATTAGGCAAGCTTGTTTTCTTTCTGTTAATTGCATAAGGGGATTCCCTTTTGTTGCAGTGTTCAGATAAAACATTTCCTTTTTGTCTCAAAATGCATGATATTTTCAGGGATTCTCATACATGAATCTGCCACATGTTTTAGTACTAGACAGATCAAGTTACCTCAAAATCAACATAGGCATTGCATGCATGACTTCATGTTGCTTGTGCAACGCACAGTGACAAACAGGTTTAGCAAAGAGCTGTTGTGGTTTTTGTTGCTATTTAGTGTTTTGGGAGAAAATAAAATCGAATCAAAAGGGTCTTTTACACCTGGAGGCATTTAACCCCATTGTACCCTTAAAGAATGATGGCATGTTGGTGCTCTCTGAGTCTGTCTCTGGAATATCTTTCATTGTTTGAACTTAAGGCTGTTTTGGAGGGCTCGTGCCTCTTTGTATCCGCTCACATCATTTCTCAGCGCTTGATTACTGGATGTGTATTTGACGCGTGTTGTAAGCTGCGCCTCTCTCAGATCACATATCAGAGGGACGCGCGTCATTAAGGAGTGCATGTCGCCGCGCGACTGTAACCGTAGAAACTGCGCGCGCAGTCTGAATATGACAGGCTGAGCGCGTGCGGTCACGTTAATAATGAACAGATGCTGAAATATCACCGATATATGCATGCACAACGACCCCTGACCAGCTTGTTTTTGGGGAGGTTTCTTGGAACGTTCGTGTTCAGGATAACAATTTATGTTACAGTGTTTATCCCTTTTCTTCTTCTTCTTTATTATTCATAGAAGTGTATAGTTTTTTTTTGGTTTGTTTTTTTTAGATTACTGACATTTAAAAAGCTATTCTAATGGCGCCAGAGGATATTTGCTCTGGGTGAGACGACCTTTGACAGATTGCGCCCCAAAAATACCTTTATATTTATAATCAGTCATTGAGCAGACTTTTAAAATGTGTCTACACATATCAGGCCTATACCGATATAGCACACATGAAACATATATGTAACACATTTTATATGGTGCTATAATATAAATAAGAACAAACGCGCTACAAAATGATGCAGCAATGCACTTCAGTTAAATGCATTCTTATTGTTTATTAGTATTTGCTAGTAGTAACAGGCACACTGTAATGTAGTTATTGCATACGTGTGAATAATGAAAATATCCCGCTTTATTTTATGCGTTTAGGCTGTGTGCAACACGTCAACATGTGCGTCTATTCCGACAAGAGTTACTCAATGCAACGGGCGGATGGAAGGCGTGAAAAGAGGAAGACACCTTCGCAATAGGTCTTTCGAGCAGATGTTGATGAAACATGCTAATGATCTTGAGATGTAGGATAATGTGCATATTGTTTTGTTCTCTTAGACCATTGGTGTGGGTGAGACTTTGACTTCCCTTCTAGGCTATGTTCACAATATTTCCTCACATGGAGATTTAAATAAACAGTGGTGTAACAGCAAAAAATGCTGCGATAACAGAAAAAAATAACAGACGGATTCTTGGCGTCTTGAGGTTTTCGTGGAATAATAATAATAATAATAATTCCATAATTTTATTATTATTGTAATTATTATTATTATTATTATTATTATTGCTAATAATAATAATAATACGTATTATTATTATTATGTTTACATGGCTGTTGTTTTTTATTGTTTATTAATTCTAATTATTATACACATGTGTGCTTGTTTTGTTTTTGTTTGTTTTAATGTGTTGTTGTTGTCTTCGTGTAACCAAACGCTGGTTTCAAACTGAGCTCATCTTTAGCACGTGAGCCCGCAGAATTCTGGCACAAATCCTGCCAACACGAGTTAAACCTCAAGCCCAGTGCACACATATAACACTGAAACATAATAAAAGAACGAATACAAGGAGAATAAAATGTATTTAATGGCTGTTACGAAGTAATCGACTGTTAAAAATGTAAATTACTATTGTAAAGGCATTTCTGTTTGCTTTAAAGAAATGAGACATGTTAAATTGTAATAAATTATTTTATAAAGAAAACATTTAATATAATAATAATAATATTTACTCGATTTGTCTTGCGAATGGAAGAAAATGTTTTCTTTCTGACTGTATTTAGACTAAATGCTTTAGTCGTGCAGAGTGAAACTATTAAATTTAACTCTGAATTTAAAACTGCACATTTTTTATATAATGTATAAATGTATGTAAATATTGTAAATAAATAAATACTTATTTTTGCAGTTGGGGCATTTGTAGAGAGAAAAGGCTTTTCTCCGTTTACTCGCCTTAAACAATTTGTTTAGGATTTGTTAATCAGTCAGTTAATTAATTTGTTTCTTTGTCGTGTTCTTAGCGTCAGTTTTAGTGCGCGTAAGCACATTTATGTATCACCATCAATAACCATCAAAAGAAACAGACAAAAAAACTGATGAAATCCACAGAAAAAGATGAATTAATTCAGATAACCAGCTGTAACTGTGAGAATCGCTTTATTTCTGCCTCTCTGTTTTTTGTTTCAGTCTGTCTCCCTCTCTCTGTCGTTTTCCTTCTCATTAATGTTAGTTTAATGCGCTTTAATTCGCTTTCCGAGGCGCCACTGAAGGTTTTTAAACGACAAATGCGCCTACTAGTGGTGACAGTGTGAGCTCAGGGTGTGTCAACCACACAAGAAATCATTCGATTCTAATTAAATACCATGTATGAGACTTATAAAACCATTATCATAATTATTGTTGTTCTGTTATGATTGAGCAAAACCATTAGTTATTAGAAAATTAATTTAGCACAAGATGCATGGGAGAATTTACCACTTTAATTTTTTCCTGTGCAAAAATACTTGTTTAAATGTTATTACTGTTTGGACGATGCTTAATTGCTACAGTTTTTAACCTAATTTGTTTTTGAGGGATAATTGTTGCCTTAACAATTAATGTTAATTAACTGTTTCTGTATTGCTCAATGCATTATTCATTTTTTACAAAAGATAAACTGGCACACAGATATAATAACTTCAGCAAAAGATATTTTACTTTCTGTCTGTGGTTTTTAAAGGTTACACCTGGCAGACTCTAAACCTTAATCCATTATGTGCCATAACATGTGAGGAGAGGATTGAAATATTTATTGATTGCTCATTAAGTATATGGCTGATAATAGAGGAGCTTTCAGTTTTGCTTCGGCGCGTTTGATGGGCGCATCAAACCCAGCCCTGTTCGCGGATTGGTCGATTAAACCCGGCCCTGATCGCTGATTGGTGGAGCGCTCAGCTCACTCCAGGCTATAATGAGATGAGTAAATAACGCTTGTCTGCAGAGCGCAGAGCGCAGCTTTTACAGGCATGTACGTCTGACTACCACAATCTTTTTTTCTTGTTTAAACTCACTTTCACGCTTAAACATTCAATTGGAAGCAGAACATTTGACAACTAAGCCGGACTTTATTGCAGAAGTTCTTCTGAAACTGTGGGATTAATTTGTGTGGACTTTATTTTCAGAGACTCTGGACTGATAGAACGGAAAGTGTCGCTCTGACTAAAAGTAAAACTGACATCCAGGAGCAGCACACACCTGCTGTACACACTCTGGAATAAATGCGGTTTAATAAGCAGCTTTAGAATAATAGTTTCATATGCTTTGAGAAGCGTACTTGTATCAGTTTTGTGCTTCGACTCCAAATTCCTGTCGTCGCGCTGAACGAGAGCGTTCGAGCGCGTATGTGTGTGCTTGCGGTTTCTTGGTTTTTGCTGAAGTCAGTGGGAAACTCAAGCGCACTTGAACGCTTCTGCGTCCTGCACCGAAACGCAAAGTAAACGGTCACGGAGGAGTTTTCCGAGGCCACTATCACGGACTTTCTGTAGGCTACTTACCCCATTTGGGTGCCTGAGCTCTTCACGGGGGTCTCATTTGTAATCTGTTGTGATGCATATTCCCGTAGACCCGAGCACGAGCAGACGGTTCACGCCGCCCTCCGCCTCGTTCCCGTGCGCTAAAGTGACCGAGAGCCCGAGCATGAACGCACCGGGTCCGCTGCGGGCCGGCCGGCCGGTGGAGAGCCGCTCCGTGGTGGACGTGCTGGCGGATCACGCTGGAGAGCTGGTGCGCACCGACAGCCCCAACTTTCTCTGCTCGGTGCTGCCGTCACACTGGAGGTGCAACAAAACCCTGCCGGTGGCTTTTAAGGTAATTAAAACATTCATTCCTGTAAAATAACTAATTTCATAGCGTTGTCCGTTAAATCACAAGTCAGTCAGAACGCGGCAAGTAAACAGAAGTCGCGCTCTACTGAAGAGATAACCATAGCAACGGTAGGCTGCGCGAGCCTTTTCCGTTAGAATCCAAAACAAATGGTACAAGCAAACGGTAAGTGCTATCATTATTAATCGCTTCTCGCATATTTATATATCATAAGTTCATAAAAAATATTTGTTTTACAGGTAGAGTGAAATAGTTGACGTTTGATTCGTCAAAAGTCAAATCTGTGGCGGGAGCCATGCTCACCACAGTTCGTGTTTTGGAAATTACTGACAAAAAATCCTTTAAAAAGCCCACTCACATAAATGTCACCGAATAATTAAAACACTTGCATATTTTTTTTTCTGATATCATCGTAACATACTTCTGCTGGACTGATAATATAGAATATAATATAGAAGATAAAAACAAAATATTGATCACGTCAGTGACAATTCGACAAGACATTGTACGGTCCTTGAATTCTATTATTATTATTATTATATAATATTATTATTATTATTATTATTATATGCCTATTATTATTATTTAATTGGAAAAGAGCTGTTATAATGATCACCGCGACAACGATACTCCGGTTATAATGTTTGCGGAAAAAAAAATACTGTTAGGCTATATGCAATTATTATTCGTATCTACATTGTATTTATTTTTATGTTTAGCATATATACAAATCACAACCGTGCACTTGCAGCAAACGTAAGCTAATTTAAATAAAATTGCTAAAATTGAAGAAAAAAGGCTTAAATTGGTTAGGAAATTAGGCTATTTACTCGCGGAGCAAATCATAAATATTTTATGTGCTTAACATAGAGCAATATTAATAGTAATCGTCAATATATGTACGAGCAAACTTATATTGTAATAATTATTGCGGGGGTTGCAACCCGGGTTTGTTTGGTTTGGGGTCTGTGTGTGTTGTTGATTGGGTTTGTTGGGTTGATCTGTGTGTTTATCAGGTGGTGGCTCTGGGTGACGTTCCTGACGGGACTCTGGTCACGGTGATGGCGGGAAATGATGAGAATTATTCCGCGGAGCTGAGAAACGCGTCTGCCGTCATGAAGAACCAGGTGGCGCGATTCAACGACCTGCGCTTTGTGGGCAGGAGCGGCAGAGGTGCCACATCTATCAATCTGTTTTTCTGTCTGTCTGTCTGTCTGTCTGTGGTCAGATGCATGCAGGCTATGTGATGGAAATGCAACAACATATTTATACTATATTGCGATCAAAAATAAATTATATTTTTTCTTCATGCAAGCACAATTTGACATTTCTAAATTGTCATACGTTTAAACTTAAACACTTAAGCTGCAGTATTGCACAGTGGAGACTGGAAAAAAACGGGCACATATAACAGCATGCTTCAATTACTTGTCCCAGAGAAATTATTTCCCCACAGCAGAATTTTTCTTAAAAGATTTGAGGTTTAAAAAAACCATCTTGTTTACACACCTAAAAACACCCTACCTCTTACATAGCTCACATTCTTTCACAAGCTTTTCCTTCTCGTCTTTTTCATTTTTGGCCTCGCTCCTCGCACTCACATTTTTCCTGTAAATGTTACACTTTAAATAGTTGCAGACGGATGAGTGGAAAGCGCTGCAGTGTGCGAATTAAAAGTACCTTTCATTTCTGCAGTCAATTACCCCACCCTCATAGCCCTCATACAAGCCACGGCTTTCTCCCCTCAAAGCGCAGCTTCATTGCATTTAGAGATCACACACACGCACGCACACACACACAAACACACACACACACATGCACACAGACACAGCGGAGTCCCGGGAACAATCTGGAACACATTGTCTGACTAATCCACATCATAAACGCATTTGAAAGCGCATCAAAGCAGTAGTGCTGTCTCTTTTCAGAGGAAACTCATTCATTTCTCCCAGCTGTATGTGACCCACCTCACTGAAATTGTGCATCGAATCTTTACTTCATGCAGCCTGAGGGAGTTTCTGTTTTACCTGAGGGCTTTTCTGGTATATAATCAACTTTATGTAATGTAATTTTTCACAACTGAAAAAAACTGAAAATAAAAAAGGTACAAAGCTGTCAGTTGAGCTGTGGCCTAAGGTACAAAAGCTAAAAGCTACATTTTTGCACCTTATTTACCCCTAAATGGTATATATTATTACCTTAAAGGTACATATTGGTGTTTTAAAACTTACTTCAAAAGTACACAGATTTTAATACCTAAGGTGTACACAGTATTGTACCTTTTTTCTGAGAGTTTACTTGATTGTTTTAGTGTCAACAGCACTCAAGCTACATGAATGAAACTTGATGATCATGTTATCCAGCATGATTTTAGAATGTTTATGTTTATATTTCTGGTATTAAAAGTTTTTTTCTGTGAATCATGCAATAACTTTTCAAACCAGCGAGTGACATTTTATCCTGTGTCTTCTTGTCGTCCTCAGGAAAGAGCTTCACTTTGACCATCACTGTGTTCACTGGACCACCCCAGGTCGCCACATACCACCGCGCTATTAAAGTCACCGTGGACGGACCTCGAGAACCAAGACGTGAGTACCCAGAATCCCTGAATGACTATCAAAAAGAGCGTTGACCAAGGTTTCCAACAGCACCAGCAATGATAACATTATCTTGCACTGGTATCCACCTCTTTGCATGACATTGTTCTGCATGAACTCAAATTGTTTGTTTTATATAGAGTATTTTATCAGGAGCTGTGTGTTTCTTTGTGCATGAAACCAGCATAGAATACAACAGAAAGAGTCGCTGTCTGTTTTATTGATTTATCGTTTGTGTATAATTTCATGCTAGACTGCAAATCACAATTCTGGTAGAAAAGCATTTCTTTTGCGGTGTTTGATAGAGAGGGAAAGTATTTGAGGAGGTGATACGAGATGAGATAGTCTCTTCTTTGTGTCTGCTTTATACCGTGTTATTTACTGCAGTAAAAACCAGGCTGAGCAGTCTTTAGAACATGTGCCAAGTAAAACAGATTAGTTAATCTGTTGGTTCCTGGAGTGTTTCTTACTGTATTAGAGCTAGGAGGTTGATCATTGCACACTACTGTTGCTAAATCGGTGAATGTACGTAATGGTTTTGATATTATACTATGTTGGGATGGAGTATTTGGATGGTGCGAAGAGTATTTGAACTATTTTCGGAGCACCGACGGCTTTAATAGTCCTATGAGTCATTCACAGATGATACCGGGGAGTAGAGCCACTGTGTGTGTGTTCCCAAATAGTACAGTGTTTTTTTGTGAGTAAGTGTTGGTTTCGATGTCTCCTTGTATTCTCATGTTTGGGTGTATACATACCTGCACATCAGCGTGTGTTAATATTAAACAGCGAACAGTCCTTCGTGGTCTAGATGGTTGCCAACCTCAGATGTCAGTTGTGGTGTGTTATTAAGCCGTTTCAGGAGCAGAGAGCGAGGGTGCGTCTCTGAGCCACAAACACAGAGGGCTCAATGAAAGTGGCCACTCTTTCTGACCAGCGGGGTCAGCAGTGCCTGACCGCATTAGAGCCGCTGAATTAACACAACACTGAATGCCTGCTAGGGGTGCAGATCCATAACGCTAATGCAGCCCGTGACCACAACAAGAGGAGACCAGAGAGAGAGAGATAACAGTAAGTCAGTGCTGCTGTTTACAGAGCTGTTGTTGTATTTGTTCAAACACTAGCCCCAAAAAATACTTTGGAAACTGTAATGAATTTATGACTGTCATTGCACTAGATTTCAAACCAAGCACAGGTACACTTTTCAAGCGAAACGGCAGTTTTGTTTGGTTTGAAATGATAAGTAAATAGATCTAGCGTACCTGAAAAGACAGTTTAGGAAGGTGATGTTGAGTGAACCTCATAAAGTCTGTCAAGAATATGCCCAGCTCATATTTCCAATTTTTAAAAAAAAGTAATAAGAAATGATATTCAGCTTAAAGAAAAAGCCTACTTTTAGGAACAATATTTATTTATTTAAATATTATTTTTTGACAGTTTAGCACACCCCACTGCCAGTTCTCATGATTTAATGGAATATATATTGGTTTTTTTATACATAAATTAAGTTATAATTAATATAAGTTAATTTCATTTATATATATATATATATATATATATATATATATATATTGTATATTTGTATTCATGAAAACATAATTTGCTGTATTGCCTAATTTGTGCTAGATCTTAAAGAGCTGTATTGGAGTATTTTTGTTACTGTATTACAGAAATAAGAAGTTATTTTGAGAGAAGATGTGTTTGCATTAAATAATGCAACAAATCCTAATGAGCCTAAAAATAGGCTTTATTTTCTTTCTACATTTTTGCCTTTCTTTTGAATGTTTGAAATGTGACCTGGACATGTTTTTGTTCTGTAAAAAACAATCTAGCATTACGTGAGCAAATGCCACTTGTTTTGATATTTTATAAATTGCAATGACATGTAGTAATGCAAAGTATATGCAAAAATCCCTTTTGGTTCAACATTTCCTGATTTCCTCATGCATGTCATATTTATCATATTGGCTGACTGACGCTTGGCCTGTAATGACTCTTTAGAGGCATTTCCTGTAGCGACCCGGGTCACACTGCCGTACCTGTAGCCTACGCTCACTCAGCTAGCACTAATGAACAGGTGCTTCAGACGCGATACAGTTTGAAATGATGTGTGAGTGAGCGTGGTTTCAACGTGGTTATGGTGGTGCGGTTGCATTAGATTTTGAGTATGTGAAATTACTTTAGACCCGCAACGAATATGAGATACAGGATTTGAGATGTTTTTAATAAACAATACGTTTTAAATATTAAATGATAATGTGACGTGTAGAAAAAAAGTGTACACTGATCGTCCCATCATGCTGAATACTAATGTGTGTGATAGACTGAAGTCTTTGAATTCACTGCGTTGTTTATTTGCAGTTTGTGTGTGAATATGCGCTGGAGTGTGTGTGTGTGTGTTCTGCTTTTGTCAGATATGTTTTATTGATGGTATCTTTTATAAGAAAAACCACACCCTCTTCTCCCCCAGGCACGGGCTGACTGAGGCAGTATGTGTACTTTGATAGTGCTGCCAATAGAATAATACCTCATTAATGTTTACTTACAGAGTTGATAAACCTGATGGACGGGACCCCACACACACTCACATGTTGGGTTTTTATGTTTTATGGGGACTTTCCATAGACATAATAATTTTTTCATATTCTGTACAAACTGTATATTCTATCCCTTAACCCTCACAGAAAACTCTGCATTTCTACATTTTTTTTAAAAATCATCATTTAGTATGATTTGTAAACCTCATAGGGACCAAAAAAATGCCCTCAACATTTTGTCCTCACAACATGGACCATATATGTATAAATACAACAGACCTAGAAAGTTTTCGGATAATATAGTCACACTTAAAAGATTATTGGAGTGCGTTTTACAGGACAATATCATTTTAGCCTCTCTACTTCACAATTTCATGTGTAATTTAACATGTAACTTGCTGTTTCTTTGTAATTATTTGTGAAATTTACTAGGAATTTCTGAGCGAACATTGTTTCAGAGTAAATACAACACCAATTTTTTTTAGTGTGTATAAATGTCATTCCCTAACAACCTGTCAAACCAAGCGGCATTCATTTTAAAGATGCAAGCACACTTATCAAGCAAAACATCACCAGCTGGTTTAGAAGTCATTGCAAAAAAGGCTCCAAAAAGTGAAAATAGTTCTGAGAAAAGCTTATGCGGCAATTGAATTGAAATTTCATTGAGAAGAGAAGAGTCGAGATTATGGGCAGGGGTTTCGGGTTCGACTGTTTTTGCATTTTGGCACACAACTCGTAGAGGGCATGTAAATCTGTTAACAATATCATTTGCTGTGTTATTTTTCCACAGATATCACTCTGTGTTTCTGTAAATAAAGGAGTGTACATGCATACATTAGTATGTGTGTGTGCGTGTAAAACACCTGCCAGGTGTGTCATCCATTAAATTAATAATGCATGCCGCACCCATTGATATGAATGCATAGTTCTGCATATTTCAGATGATATCAAAAAGACTCATTTAAGATTTTGCTTTCCTTTGGGAGGATAAAAATCTTGCATGTGTGTGTGAGTGTTCTGCACATTTTTAAAGGTGGAATCATCACACTAATGCTATTAACAGTCATTCTGTTATGTGTGCATCATAAGAACGCTTCTTCAAAGCAGTGCTAATGGCGAGTGGCAGCTTTCGTCACCGCTGGCGCTAAATATGAATGGAGCCAATATCGGACGGTAAATGAATGGAATGCGTTTGAAAAATGAACAGACGATTCATTACAGCGCAAACGCGTGCAGTGCAGATTTAACCATTGGATGTGCGCAGTGCTGCTTTAGCATGCATGCAATGAATCCTTGCTGATACTAGAGGGCAAACCTCAAAAAAGTGTCTTTGAGGATGTAACAGATGAGTCTGTCCTCTCATTATCTTCACCTCCCGGTCATATTTTCTTTTCTTTGAGGGATAAACTCAACAAAGGATGACAAGAGAGGAATGGAGTATCTACACCCCTGCACAAGTCACACACATCTTACAGGCTCAACTTGTGTTTGTGAACTTCCTTGTTTATTCTTTCACCCAAGCAGACACCATTAGCAGCTTTAAAGAGTAATTTAATAAAGTAGCATAATAAAGCACCTCACAGTCCATGATAAACATCTGAGAGGCATTGAGTAGGAGAGGGAGACAGAAAGGGGAGGGAGGAGTGTTACGGGAATATTATAGTGAATCATCTGTTTATTTTTCTGCCATTTTTAACAGTGAGGAAAATTCTGCAAATAGCCTAATTGAAGAAGCGAGATGTGCCCAGACTTCCAGTAACACACACACACGCCGAGCTTGTTGGGAAAAGGAGATTTTCTCTTTGTCAGAGCATAGTGTTTCAGCATTTTAAATGGGTCATATCATGAGGAATCAATTTATCCTTGATCTTTTTAGATGAAAGACTTCATTGTGTCATGAAAAATGTAACTTTTCAAGCTCTACATTTTCTGCTAACATATCTTGCTTCCGCACTTCCACAGCTTTCTGACGTCAGACAGACACGTTTGACCATGACCGCCGTATGCTAATGATGTCTGTTTGATTTTCAAAAACTTGACCCATCCAGTGATGGCAAGATAATAAAGAGGAAGTAGAATAGATACTATTATTTTTAAATATGGGAAGATCTAAAGATAAGATTAAATGTAGGAAAGTCTGTGAAATTCTGCAGATCATTCTGAAGAATCCCAATATTAGAAATAAGCATCTGAATTTATTTTCAACGAAATCACTGATCTGAACAGTTTAAGCAAAACATTTCAGTGCAGATTGTCTTATTACTTGTGCAGATTCAGTGCAGTAAAATGTTTCTTATTTCACATGTGCAGAGGACATTTACATAGATGTTTTAAAGACACAAAGATATAGCAGGTGCATAATCGTCAAGACTAAACAAAATTTTATGTATATGTAAAATTATAATATTATTTTATAGATTATTATAAACTTATATATAAAATTATATTAAAAAT